CTAGACTCAGCGCCGCTGATGACAACCCTCTGAGTTCTGCCATTCAGCCAGTTCTCAATCCATGTCACCTAGTTTAAAGGCCTCTCAATGAGCCCCGCCAGCTCGTGGCCAAGAATCCTTTTTCCCCTTTGAGACAGCTGCGATCCACTTGTTGCCAGCAGGCCCGGTGCTGTGTACACCTCCCCATGATCAAAGAAGCCAAAATTTGACCGATGGCACCAGTCCCTGAGCCATTTGTTAATCAGGTGAGTTTTCCTGCCCCTTTCAGTGCTGTTCCCTGCCACTGATGGGATGGAGGAAAACACCACCTGTGCCCCTGATCCCTCAACCAGTCGCCCCAGTGCCCTGAAGTCCCTTTTGATGGCCTTGGGACTTCTCTCTGCTATCTCGTCCCCGCCAACCTGCATTACCAAAACTGTCAACATTTTTAACTTGTAAGTTTAGAATGAAACTGAATGGCAGAATAAATACCTTCTTCATCTTCCCACTCTAAATCTAATGAAGTGCTGTCATCGTTTCCACTCGTCGATTTTGTTTTGGTCATTAAGTCACAACTACTCTCTGTGTTGGGTGTCAGCACTGTAGCATCAGATGAAAGTCCTATATAGACAAATGTATTTTTAATTGATAAACATTCTTGAATGTGAGGTTCAATATGCAAAACTAAACTTTCAAATAAAGTTTTTGTTGTGCTTTGTGGCCTTTAAACCTCAGGAACATTTGAAAAAGCACTTCATCCATCACTTCAAAGAGTACACAGTAGTTTTTAAGAGTCAACGTCATTAACATATTACAGGAGGACATTTAGCAATATTGTCTAATTAGACCTAAAGAGGAATTTATTAAGTTGTAAGCTGGACTTCTGTGAAGATTTGCCAAAAAAAAAACAAACAACAAACACACAACCCAAAAAACAACCCTCTCCCAAACTAAACTACAAGCAGTGTTTCCCAAGAACTATTATAAGTTCTCCAACTTCTTAGTGATTATCACATATTGTCATCAAACTTATGTATATAAATTTATGAATTTATCTTCCTCTAAATTGTTAGTGGAATTTTTAAATATAGGCAGCCAAATCCTCTCATGTTCTTCTTTACAAAAAAATTAACCATTAGTATAATTCTAATTATAGTGCTAAGAGATGGTTAAAAAAAGCTATACACACGCATTTGCATATTTAATAGACAGTTAAATTTTACAGGAGAAGCTCACTGCATTCACGTTGCCGTCACAAAGATGGCTAGAAAGCCTCAGTAAAATACAATCCATGCACAGGACTTGTTTGCTTACAGAACTTGCTTTCGAGAACTGGAATGGCTGTAGCACAAGTTGTACATGCTGTGGTTTTTGAACACTTCAAGCATCAAGGATTAGAGAGGAAAAGAAGTTTCTATCAGTTTTTTTAATACAGATATATGTATACACATTTTACATGTATGTGTTTATACAAAAATATAAATAAATTACATTTATCTAGAAAAAGAAATATTACTCTGTGCTCCTCAGAGTCATTTAACATTTAAGGACTGCATAAGAAAAGGAAGACTTACTACTACTTCGAAAAGCTTCATACTGGAATTTTGTATTCCTTAAGAAAGCATCAAGATCTTCCTCTGCCACAGAGCTGTAAGAATAATGCACATACTGTTTTCAGCTGTATAAACCTCTAAGGATGCTAGAAAAGATATATTAATCCACATGGCCCCCCAGTTCTATGCTACAAAGCACACAAACCTCTAACTAAAATCTTTATAAGATGATCTACAAAATGCCTGTCCATTCCTACTGATCACATCCTCTCCTAGTCTGACCTTCTCCTCAATTTTCAGCAGTATTTTCAAAGTGAATTAACTTGTCACAGAACAACTCTGCCCCTCTCATCCTTTGTCATGTTAGATAATGCCTCCTTAATTTTCAATCTCTTTTTTAACTAATGAATTCAAATCCTGCTGCTGCAGTCCTTTGTTTCCAAAATGTGGCTAGTTCCTACTCATGCCATAAAACCTCAGTTCTCATGGCCCCTTTTCTAACCATACTTCCCTAACTGAAAATCCCTCCTATCTCCCTTGTATTCTATTCAAAAATAGGTGTTTGATTTTAGAGGTTCCACAGTAAATTTATGTGGGGCTTTTTCTAGGGGGTTGGGGGGTTTTAAAGGAATAATATTAATGAAGAAACAGGCAGACTATATAAACCGTTCAATTCCCCACTTGATTAGTGTGTATTTTTATTGGAAATTTCAAACAAAGTTCTGAACAATAAAAGTGTTTTTATATTAGCTGAGATTTTAGATATAAACACCTTTTTAATATAAAACACTAGATTTTGTGTGTGTGTATATATTAGTAGCTGGGAGTAGGTTCAATTTTGTATGCATCAGTCTAGTAGCTACAGTGAAAACCATAGCGTGAAACCCAATCTGCCCCCTAATTCTGCAGATGAATGGTAACCATCTTGCATTCAGTAACTATTCAGTGTGAAGAAAACTGCAATGAATGAAAACAACTCTGACTTAGAAATGCTCCTGTATATACAGTTTGAAAAACGTGTGGGTTTTTTTTTTTTTTTGGTGAGGGGCAGATGAGGAATAGGAGTAAAAACAGTCTTGGTTCTCAATTATCACTAATACAATTTTTTAGCTTACCTCTGATATTCTCCATTATTAACAGCGTGCGCTCTCTGTGTTATCCTTTGCTGTCTATGTTGCTATTGAAAGAAGTAAATTGTTGAAAAAGCTGAATGTAATCACTCAGTGTAATATACTCTGCAACACAGTAAGCATTCCTTTAACTGCCACATTAGAAGGAGCATTCTGGTCCTTGGAGCAGTCCAAGTACAACTCACGAAAAGACCAACTTTCGTTCAAATAAAGATCAAATTTCATGATACTGAATGGACCACTACATGCAAGCAGTATTGTTTTTAATCTCAGAAATCTCTCATTTTAAAAGAAGGCAGGTTTGTGAATAGAGCTCTCAACATTTTAACCTAGTTCATGCACCAAAAAAAAAGCATCCATTTGTCTAGAAACATGCGAACATCTTCTCATTCATAACTGCATCTGTCCTCCTCTCTGTTGTCTTCTCTTCCCAAGCCACGGGTATTTTCAACGTGCAACTAACACCTGGGTTATGTTTGATATGTTTTGCTCTGTATGCAAGAACAGTCAGCCTACCATTTAAAAAGAAATATTTCCCACAGGTCCTATTATCCCTGTACGCAGCAGCACTGCCATCTCCTCTGGTTGGCTGTATCACTTATACCAATAAAAGCTTTGTTGCCTTGCTGGGCCAAAACTATTAATATCTCTATACTCTTAAGGTAGAAAGCTTTCATGGTATCACCAGGCAAAAAACAGAATGAAAAATGCAAGACAAGCCATAAATGCGCTTATTCTGTAGTTACAAGAGGAACAACAGATGTCACGGAAGTAGGGTTCCACTTAAGTTTTAGGGTTTAAACAACTTAAGTTGTCTCAAGCTTCTTTTCCCTGCCTTGAAAAGAGAGCATAAAAACTGGGCACATCAACTATGAGATTAAAGGTCAAAGAGTTACGAAGCAGTAATTGTTCACCGATTATGACAAAAACTAAGATAAAAATGCACGAGCTAGTTTTACAGACAAAAGTCTGACGTGTCTAGCTACTGTATTTTCTGAAATATCTATTCTCAGCCTTAATGGATCTGTCCCTGCAAAAGAAAAGTAGGGATAAATAAACCAGAATTTTTAACATCAACTTAACTTCATCTAAGAATTGCTCTTTGCTGGGTAAATAGTCTTGTGAGGTAGCTGCATTGGATCAGCTAGTATTTTTCAATTCTAAGACAATGATGGATTCATTTCTTGGCACATTTTCCATCTGGGGTATTTCAGTAAGGTTCAGAATAAGCAGACTGAAACCAGGAATGAAATGGGAAGTGTAGGAGAAGTAGAAATATCACATAATGGTGATTACAGGTAAGAAGACTTCAAGTACACAGGGAGAAAGAGATGGGAATTTGGCACCAACACAGTTAAAAAGCCTGAAAAAATCAATTACTGACATACACAGCAATTTTCTTTTAAAATTCATATATCTGCATAATATCCAATTTAAATTATCTACCCGTTTTGCCACGTCACATACAAATACCTAGCACTGTAAGTTCCAAGGTACACATATATTAAAAGCCTCTGCTGTTGCAAACCCTGACATTTAGTAGGGCAACATCAGCAAGCCAAATTAGTTTGAAAGGGATGCCATACTTCCAATGAAAAAGCCATTTTCTCACTTGGAAGACTTCTGCCCACAAACAGCAAAGAGATGAGTTATGTATTCAGAAATGGCTTCTAGTTTTAGAAAGGTTAAATGCTTGATGCGTATCTATACAAAAATGCTTCCTGAGAAATCCTTCTTATAATCCTTATGGGGTTTGGGGGGATTGTTTTTAAAGGAGATAAGTGGTGCTAATTTTACAAGAGGAGGAAATTAAAATCTCTGTAATGCATTCTGTCTTAGGCCCTGACTGAAAGAGGTGCATATTAAATATACTGAAAGACGAAAAAAATAGCATTGCTTGCACAGAAATTCTACAAAAAAAAAACCAGTTAAAGCCATAAAACAATCTACTTTTTCTGACTTTATATAGACCAAAAGTGTTAAAAAAAAAAAAAAGCAGGCAAAAAAGGTCAGAAACAATGAAACAATTAACCCTCCCAGACCAACTGCCAAGGGGATAGACAGAGGAATGTGAAATGAGACCTATACTTAGCAACATAAATATTAGATGAAAATTCAGTCATCGCTATAAGTCTGGAAATAACAATTTAAAATTTACTCTCTTTTGAATATAGACAATACGCTAGGGCTAAAGATCTCTCCTATACATGTTATAGATTTCAGACTTTTCCAATTCGTCTAAATCTGAACTTTTGAAAATTGACTTCTAATTGAACACATCACATGCCTAGAGGACTGTTTGCTTAAACACTGTACAACTGCAGCCACACCCAGCACAGATGAACAGACACTGAAAGGGAAAACATTCTTTTTAACATACGCATTTCTGGCAACCTGAAGTTTGTGTGAGAACACATACTTTCATAGCTTCTTAAGATGGCAAAAACATTAAATGCACTGATAATATGTAACTCTGAACTGCAACATGAAAACTGTCAGTAATAAGTGATGTCGGGATACAGAATAGCATCTGTTTTCAAAAAAGCAGGAAAACATAACGTGGCTTTTGTTTTGCTTGACCAAGCTCAAAAAGCATGGACAGCAGACATCTGAAAGCAGGCATGGATACATTAAAAAAAGACTATTGTTAAGTCATTACTAGACTTTGGCTACTACACATACAAATCACAAAGTGATAGAACAACTCAGGTTGGAAGGGACCTCAGGAGGTCATCTAGTCCAACCTCCTGCTCAAAGCAGGGTCAACAGTAAATTCAGATGACTTGGAAACACGTATCTTCATGATAACACAAATCACAGAGATAAGGAACAATTAAGTCCACAAATATATAAAGTGCATTTTACATGTTGAAATGATGCCATAATGTGTGCTTAATTTCAGGTCTTTGTCTTTTTTTTTTTTTACTCAAAAACCATCACAGATCACTTTACATTATATAGAAGTTACTGATCTTTAATGTAAAGTCTGTTAAGCTAATTATAGATTAAAATCATACATCTCATTCAAAAATCTATACTCAGCATCGTAAGCTTTTTCAAACAATTCTGATCATTTTCAGCTGTACTTTCAAATGGTGTATTTCTTTCTCTACTGGAATTTACAAGCCAAAGTAATTTCCTCATTACATTTCCTGAGACGTAAAGAGTATTAGGAAAGTCTGCATACATAGAAACAGAACAGAAGTTCTGATACATGTTGGGGTCTTTTTCCCCTCACCTCCAAGAGCTTTTTCTGCTTTGCTGCCCTGGCTGCTTCACGTTGTGCAGCATATAAAGCCTCCTCTTCTATTCTTAACTTCTCCTCTTGTAAGGCTAACTGTATATGAACAAAATAATAATGGTTAACAAAAGCAGAACCTATCTATCTTGCTATGAATAAAGCCATAAGTTCAATAAAACAAAAGAACTACTAGAAAACAAAAATAAAATAAAATTGACTATAGGTAAAACATTTTTCTTCATTAACTGAATCTAACAGCTTCCCCCCCACCAAACAACCCAAGAAATTTAGATAACTAAACATTACCCTATTGAATGAATATCATTGCTAGTGAATTGCTGTAAATGCAGGTTGCATGGTCTTATAAACTGCTCCGTGAAAGACCTAAATCTTTTCAGTTGCATATTTCATTGGTACTTTATTAAAAAATCATTCTTGACTTCTACATTGTGTTTCACACCATATTACATTAATTGTTGCAACACCCTAAAACAAAATGACAAATTACGGGGTTTTTTCCTTGCAAAAAGCTCTGGAAAAATTAAATGAGCACAAGAAAAGCTGAATCAAGTATACTCCACATTTTGCCCTTCATAAAAAAAAACAACCAGTTCACATTTAACAGATCTCAGACAGCCAGGCTTTTCATTCAATTTTTCAGTTAAGAGGCTATTAAAAAGAAGCAATCTCTGATGCAAACTAAGTTGCGCAGCAATCTCTATGTATCTTGTACACTAAAAAATAACAACTGATGAACAAAACCCAATTGTTTTGTTCTGCAAATGGAACCTCCTTGTGTTCATAGTTGATCTTTACTTTAAAAGAAAAACTATCCATACCATACTAGTCATTGTAACTGCTTACCTCTGACTGAAGTTTCATATCAACAACTCTCTGCTTTTCAGCAATGGAGTCATAATGTCTGTCTTTCAAGTCAGCAATTTCTTCCTCAGTCAGAGGTCTAAGAACATGGGAGAAACATAAAAAGACTCTATCTATTATTTAGACATGACAACCCTAAGTTGCACTTAAACATATCCATATAGTCTTTCTTCACTGGTCCTTTAATGCAAATTCAACAAGCTGTACTTCTGGCCGGGTCCTCCTGAGAACAGAGTTCCCAAATTCCAGTTTACTCAGGACAGTGCTGTCTCCCCTTACTCTTACAAAGCATTTTTTTAATCTTCATAGAAAGCAAGTTTTCAAAACATTGTTTGCTAGCAGAACTACTGGACTAGAATGGTTAATATTCCATGGGAATAGAATGGCTTGGGGGGCTGGAACTAGATGATCTTTAACATCCCTTCCAACACAAACCATTCTACAATTCTACGAATTTTGCAGTGCAAATATCACTTTTTTGCTTACTTGGTTTGGTCGCCTAATGTAAATTGTTCCCTTATCATCTGTTGCCTAATTTATGTCTACTTCTATGTATCTAACAAACAAGACCGCAAAAGCATTATAATAATTACAAGATTCACTGACCATTGACAGGGAACAACATTTTGGGAACTATCAAACTTCAATAATATAAAACATATAGAATGAGACAACCAAAGCATACACTTCGGTCCCTTCATATGTTTCCTACAGAGCAGACCTCTTAAGTTTCTAAGGCTTACATAAATATTAACATGCTCACAAAAAAATTCACTAGAGTTGTAGCATTAACACCCGTGTAACTTTAAATGCAGAACCTGGGAACAAGAATAAAGATTGTCTTTGCAACATAGTGTTTTAACTGTCTTGCATAGTTTTTGCATGATGCATTATAATTTGATGCGGGTAAGCATTAAGATTTGTTCAGCATGTATTCTTTCCATGTATCTGACAACTAAAAAGACAGAAAGGGTTTTGACAGGAACTCTGAAAAATTTAACAGTTACAGTGGGAGAGTAGGTGGAAGGAAAGGTTCTGAATCTCAAAGTCTTACCTGTGGCTGCTTCCTGGGCTTTCTCCCTGTTAAACAACAGAAAGAAAAAAAAAAAAAGTCTGCCTTTTTGAGAATCCCATCAATCAATCAATTTTAAGATGGGGAAAAAAACACAATATGAAATCATAGTTTCTCTCATATATTGGTTTTACAATTAGGGGGGAATCCCCTGTTTTAATTTGGAATTAAAAAAAAAAATCTTGTTATGCAATCAACTGAAGTGGCTGACTAAGTAAAACAAACAAATACTTCCCACTGAAAATAAATATTCTGGTGGTGTATTTCAGGAAACAAACTATTAGTCCTCATGTGCAGGGTATTGAAAATGTGGTGTGTGCCCCACCCATTATCAAGCTGTATTAAATTTATAAGAGTGAAGCTTTAAGGCCAACTTCTATTTTTCTGAAGTACTATTCAGCCAGTTTACCCACAATTGTAAAGACAGAGCACTCAAAACTTTGCTTAGCAAAGCAACCCATGTGCACTTATGTTCTCAGACAGAGAGCATTTGCTGAGTCTCACATGGGAGTTATACCAGGAGCAAATTCTCCTTGAAGTATTTTTAATTTTTTCCCCTCCTTTCCCCCCCACTATTTTTCATCTTTTCTTTTTATCTGCCTAATGTCCATAGTGCTCTCTTCCTGAAAGGGTTACCTCCCATACTCCCCCCAACCAGCTTTCTCTTGTCTTAGGACTTCATCTCCCCCAAAGTGTTAAATACACATTCCTAGAGCAAGAAAACTCTAAGTAAAAAAACCCTGCAAGTTAAGGCCACAACATAGCATGAAGTGGGAGGAAGATACGGATCTCAGAACCATTTTTAAGGAAGTGTATTGCACTATCAGGTTTCACATTATGATCCAGGTACCTACCTCATCACTTTCCACCAGATTCTCAAACTGCAGAGAAAAAATAGTGAACAATCTTTACAAATCAATATAACAAGTCCCTAAACACATAGAGCAAGTATGATTACATATTTAATCTGTCTTCTAAAAACACTACTCCAATGATAACACTGGGACTGTAATACCATTTATGGAAGCCCCTACTTTCAGAGAAAGTATTACTTCTAGAGTAGGACCTATCTTCTTACCAATGTTTCCTCTCTCAAATGTTACATTCTCCTTAAAGAAGAGTCAAAATTAAAAACATTCATGTATTTCACTACAACTTCTGTGAGGGCCCTGATAAAAATGAAATCTCATTAGCTTATAAGATTGCTAATAATTCTGTGTATCTGAAGCATTATAATACAAGCAGTGGAAGGAATGGTATTGCTCTGACTTGCACCAAAGCACACACTCAATTTAAAAATGCAGAAGAAGTAAGGGTATAGTGCATATAATCTCTACCTTGCAAGGCAACTGTGATGCTTATCAAAAAGTATTTGAAGATGTATTTAATTTACAGAAAACAGTTGCTTTCTACCCATAATTCTAAAAACAAACAAGCAACAACTCCTCCCCTCCCAGCTTTGCACAGAAGAAACTAAAGGTCAATCAGAAGAAACTGAAGGTCAATAAAGGCAATGTAATACTTAATGATAGGAAGCCAAAAACAGTCCAAGCCAGGCAAGAACACACGAAGCATCCTATGAGTACAAATGAGTTTGTACTCATCCAGCACAAGCTCAACTATCACATAAAAATAAAGCAAATGGAAATTCTCCATACTATTTTCAGTACAGTAATCTTACATGTAGCCAATATGGAGGTCAGTACCTACAGCAAGACTCTGTGCAGTAACAAGCTGCTGGAAGTAGAATATGAATAACAATTTGGGAGGAGGACAGAACCTTCTTTTCGCTTAATTTTTCTGCTGCAGGAACACTCCTTCACACTTGGAACTTGAGTGCTAAAGCAGATTTCCCCCACCACATACACCTGCCACCTTTCTTGAAAGCCAAAGCAGCAATTACAGTTATTAATATCATTCTCATTAATGGGCACAATCTGAAAGGTCTAGGACTTTCAGACCATAAGGAACACTCAGAGAAAGTAAACCAGGTTATTCTGAGAATCTCAACTTACACGAATTAACCTTACACTACCCTTGGCAAAAAGGGGTGATACTCGGTGGCCAAGCAAGGACCTCTGTAGTGAACGAAGTGGACTACCAATGCAACTAACTGAAGTAACCTCATCAGATTCTAGCTTCTTGTAGAATCAGATTCATGATCCTGCAATGAAGAACTAAATGTCCTGCAGCAAAGAAAAATCACTCCCAACACAGCAGTGATGAAAGATGTAATAGGCAGACTTTAGAATGCTCTGGTGCTGAGTATCAAATCACAACAGATACTTCTCTTCCTTCCAAATGACAGATTAAAGGGAGATGATGCATTAATGTTCTGAGGTGCTCTAAGCACCATTATCTTGCCACCCAGTGAAGCATCAATTTGGTCTGGAATAAGCCAGAATATTTTAGTGTACATAAACTGCAAAAAGTATTAAAGGCACTGCTAGAATTCAGCTTTTTCCACTTTTTTTTTTTTAAATCACTAGAAACGTAAGCACTCACCTCTATAGTGAAGTGTTCTCCTGTTGAACATGTTCTAAAATACTTTGATCTGGAAAAATAAGTCTACAGTTACACTACAGAATAGTCTTTAAATCACAGCAGAAGGAAAACAAGCTCGATAATTTTAAATATATTTACTTAGCCTATGTTAAAAGCCAAGACAAACATAAAATCTTAATGTATTAAACACATTTACTTGTTAGCCTGTGCTCTGCATCGCTACCAGAGCTGAAAGAGTCAAAAGCACGTAAACATCTTCTATAGAACTGCAGAAAAGACAAACGCCTTCAGGTGAGAAGAAATCACTTATCAGGATGCTGGACTTGACATTTACAGACATTCAGCGTGTTCTGCAATACCTTTAATACATTTTTTTCCTTGAAAAACATTATTCCAGGCAATTTCTGAAAACACATGCTCATCATGGCACTCAGCTCCTTACTAGCATAGCATCTTGTGCAACATCAGTGTTAAACAATACATTTTATTTTGACAGCTTGGCACGGCTAGCAGGTTGAACCTCGTAGAAATATGTCTACAAAGAGATCAAGACAATACTTTTCAACTACAAAAAATTATTCACAGTCAAATTTTATACAGAGAATCAATCTCCTCCTTGACTATGTAACTATCTTAACACTGTGCTCTATAAAAACCAATACCGTATTAAGTTACCCGAATACCTTTTTACCCAGTGAAAGAGGTTTGGCTATCATCCAAAAGAACATTCAAATGTACACTGATGCTTCAGTACAACATCCATTTCATCGAACTATTTTAAAAACAAGAGTTTCCAGTTGCAAGTGCTGACTGATATCAGGAATAAACCCAGGGCCTCAGGCATTTCTGTACTTGCACAAAGATTGTTCTGTACTTGTAACCAACACCTACATCTACCATACTGAAAGCAACACACCAGCCAAAGCCTGAATTATTTTATTCATATTATATTTCATCTCCATCTTCTTTTTCTTTGGAAGTCAGTTAGGGTACGGCTCCTGTGGCAACTTGTTGTGCAACTCACTTCACTGCAGAGTCCTGGTCAACCTTTCCTCCTGCACAGCAGAGTACCTCGCAGTGTACAGCTGCCGCTAAAGAACTGGTTCCAGTCGATTCATCGCTATGAGACTGGAGGTGAAAGGCCGCTTTAATTCATGCACTATATTGCAAGTATACCTGGGACACCTGGCATGAACGCTTCAAGTAATTTCACTGCTACCCCTTTGTGTAACATTTCGGTGTGCAGGAGCCAATACTATTAAGAATCTAATTTAATAAAATTGTTACAGGAAATTGTTTCAGGACTATGTTGTTAACAAAAGCATGATTCCGGTTTACAGCACCAGGCGCTAACGAAATTACACTCAACTTTACAAATACAGGAGCTGCAGTCAGATCAGTCGCAAGAAATGAACAGTGAACCTGTAAAAAACAAGGACAACACAGTGCAAGTTCACTAAATGTAATTACAAATAGTCCAACAGCAATGGCACTTCAAGGAAGATCTACACTTTCTGCTACTTGTGAACAGGGACTCCGTAACAGCAGACCTAACTCTGTGCCAGGGTTTGAGATCGTAAGTCCCAGAGCCACTATGCAAGGCTGAGGTCGCAAGGGACAGAAGTGGAAGACCCATCAACTTCGCCCCCATACATAACCACTTCAAATGAAATAAAATAGTAGCCTATTAAAATGCTCACAGCTTTTATTGTTCTCCTTCAAGCTCTACTGTTTGATTATCTTCTAAAAGAGACTTTAGAAATATTTAGGTTTGATAGGTACTAGAGAAAACAGTTTGGCTAAAAGGCCATGGGACCTATAGAGACTGTCAGATCAATCTTCAAAGATCTAAAGCTATTAAAGAGACTAACTTTTTAGCACTCTATACATCTATATGCCTTATTCTTTTATGCAAAGTCATGTTATCATCTTTTATTTAAAAAAAACCCAAACAATTTAAATAGATTATGGGGCAGTGGGGGGTGGGGGGGGGAGTCACTAAAAAGGAACATTTTATCTATTAAAACCAGGGCATGAGTTAAAAACACTTTTTCCACACTAGTGACAAAAATTGTTTCAATTTCGCTCCATGATAACCCTTCCCAAACTAACCAAATAACCTAGAGACAAATCATATTTATTCTTCTCTTTCTTTTTTTTTTTTTCTTTCTTTTAAACACTCCTCTAGGAGTAAATAGGAATACTTACAGTCGAATATAGTGACAAATTAGCTACAACCTACTTTCTAACTACAGTTGCAGCTTGTAGTACTTCAGGCAAAACTATTTCAGTCAAAGCATAAGGACACTCCCTAAAAAAAACAATAAAAAGTTACCAACTTAAAGTTTGTATTTTTACAGCAGGTTAAACTTATACTAACACTAAAGCAGGTTTTGGTGTTTCATTTCCCTCTACACACACTCGACGTGATCTCCAAAATTGTTGCAGCAATTCATAGATAAATTTCCAAGATTTTAAGCACAACTCAGAGCAAACACAACTTATAATTTTTCAGGAATTTGAAACGCTTATTAAAACTGTATAGTTTAGTTCCGAGTTTATTTCTTACAGTTTAATCTTGGAGCATCTAAGAATAACAAAACACAAGTTGGGGGGGGGGGGTAGGGTGGTGTCTGAGTGATTAAAATAATCACAATTAACTTGATAAGCCACATTGCTACCAAATTCTGCAGATTTGCCTACTTCTGGAACAGCACAATCTAACTTGCAAACTTACAAAATTTATAAGTCACATTTTACAGCTTGGGGTTTTTTTAACACAGTTCCCTGCCCCTCCCACCACCCAGTGGAAGGAAAATACCCAACTTGCTCAACACTCCAATACTGTTCTGTAATCTACCAGCACACCCAGAAAACTAAGACGATCTGAGACATAAGCCATCTATCTGCAAGAGGTAGCACTGATGATTTTTCTTTTTTCCCCTTAAACTGATCACTGTACACAATATTCGATGTTCAGGCTTCCAAAGCCAATCCAGACAGGTGCAGCCCCTTCAGCTGGAAAAGTCTGTTTCATTTTTCTAAGACTTGCACTACAGGCTATGCAACACCTGAAGAAACGTTCATAACAGTTTTAACATGACAACAGTAGACAGCAAGATTTATTTCACTGGTAAGGCCAGTCTGATACTGCACGAATAGAAGCAATCCATGTACCTATGAGTCGCTAAGCCATCATGGCAAAAGAACGTCTCCTTTGAGAGTATGCTCATAAAAATGTCTTCATAAATTCCCTGCATTTAAGAGAATAGCATTTCTCATAATTCTGTGCATCGGCATTCATATTTGCCACTCTGAAACCTAAGCAAGGAGTAAGCCAGTAGTTACACGAAAGGCACCAAAACACATGTTAAAGTTTGGCGAGTAAGCCAGTAACTTCAGCAACCGTCTGCTGAAAACCAGCTGGAGACTACGAGATGGTGTGGCAGGAAGCTAACAAATGATGCTTTGTGAATCGAACAGGCACCAAAACCAAGTACTAGAACAGATGACACCACAAACACCAATCAATACACAAACGGGTAACAGCATTGCAAACATTCAAGAAAAAAAAGATTACAAGGGGAAAAAAAAAACAACCAAACAAAAAAATACAGGTAATGGTCACTTCAGACCAGAGGGGAAGATCAGAGACAACTGTGTAACTAGAATTTGCTGTTCCAGCCAAGACAATCTTGTGCCTTTTTTGACTCTGTCTCCTATCCAGTGCTCAGAAGTCAGTTAAAAGTAGTCGGGGGGGAGGACGGGACGGGACACCAAAGAGACCCCAGAACCAAAGCAGTAATTTACAGGGTAAGTAACACGTTGCCGGAGACTTATTGTCACTACCCTTGACTGCTAAAAAAAAAAAAGGTATTAGCCTATGAAGCAAGAACCTTTCACTATCGCCTGTTTCTCCTCAGAGTATAGTAGAAGGAGCAGACACTTCAGGCATTTCAGATGTTCTCATACCCTTGGCTAGAGAGTACCAAGAACACAACCAGGTATCCTACACACAGGCTGTCCTGGTCTGTCACCCATTTCTCTGAAAAGTATTCCTGAAAGGTCTTCGGGACAAGCAAAACACCAGCCATGCCTGCTAGAGTTGATGTGAAACACGACACTACGAGTCTGCAACTTGTGAAGTGCTCAGCGTATCTGTCCAGAACGACTTCAGTCCTAATACATCAGTCAAAAATCAGTGGCAAGTGAGGATCAAATACTGGTACGCATATGGAAGGAAACCAAGTTCTTGCACGCGTGATATATCCTTCCCGTTTGTACACTGCTCGTCCATGAACAAAACACAAGTTACACATCACAAGACACACGAAAGTTTATTTGGATTATTCTGCTCCTGATCTTCTGTAGCGGTCACCCCTCATCCCAACGGAGCCTCAGCCTCCGACTCACGGAGAACACAAGACGCTATTCCAGAGAAATACGGCGCTCTTCCACCTTTGCACCAACACAGCGGCCTGTGCAGATTTTGGCAACTGACCTGAAAAACCTTTCTAAGCTTTTTCCTCTGGAAAAAACAACCTCGGGAGAGGGCCAAGGAATAAGACAGTCGCCTAAGCCATCCCTGGAAGCATATTGCCACCCAAACCGCACGAAGCCCAGCCGCCTCCCGACACC